ACACATGCCACAACTATTTTGTGTTTCTTTTCAAGGATCGGAATCATCAACTACTGAGGGCATCATTAAAGTATTTGAAAAGGCTAAAAAATATCAAGAGTACAATGATGAAAATGATGTATTGCCTGTTGTTATATTAGATGAAATAGGATTGGCAGAGATATCACGATTTAATCCATTAAAAGTACTTCATGAATTACTTGAGCCACGAAGTGGAAAACATTTGGACATAGCTGTTGTTGGAATTTCCAACTGGGCCTTAGATGCAGCAAAGATGAATCGAGCAATTTACCTGTCACGTCCAGATATGCATTTGAAAGATCTTAAGCTCACAGGTCAATCTATTTGCACAAGTATGATGAAAAGTACAGAGAAGGAAGAAGAATTCGGAATTCCATCGATTTCAAATCACAAAACAGATTTAGACGAGATTGCAGAGAACTTAATAAATGGTATTGCAAATGGCTATAACGAGTATTGTTCCAGCACACAGAAGTTTCCAAATTTTCATGGTCTTCGTGATTTTTACTCTCTCACAAAATATATTGGACGCAAAATGGAACATATCCTTTCTTCAGAGCAGAACAAAAAGGCTGAAGTGATACTTATTGGAATACTTCGCAACTTTAGTGGATTACCAACTGAACAAAATAATATATTAAAGACTTTCAGAAAGAACATACATTGTTTACCCTCTTCACCGGTTCCTGTCATGAGACTCATTCGCGAAAACATCAACGACAAAACAAGTCGACATCTCATGTTGATCACTAGAGGTAGTTTCGTCATAAGTGTCCTGGAACGTGAATTAAATGAGATGAATTTGCCTTTCGATATAATATTTGGAAGCAATTTTGAGGATGATTTGAATGATGATTATAATTACCGGATTCTAAGTCGTATCATTCTATGTATGGAACAAGGAATGGTTTTGATTTTGAAAGATTTGGAGGCGGTTTATGGTAGCTTGTATGATATGTTAAATCAGAACTACACCGTTGTAAGTAAAAAGAAAAACTGCAGGGTAGCACTTGGACATTATAGCAACCCAATGTGTCATGTTCATGATAATTTCAAGTGCATTGTTTTAGTAGAAGAATCCAAGCTTGATTATTCTGATCCCCCATTTCTAAACAGATTTGAAAAACAGTATTTTCAACTAACAGATTTACTTGAAGCAGAAAAAATGCAGTCAGTGGTAACCGAGGTAACAGAAGACATAACAAAGTTTTGCAAGATACCAAATTATTCATTCATTCCAGAGGATGTAATTCCATCATATAGCTTAGATCTTATTGTTTCCTTGATAGTTCAGTTGAGCAAAACAGTAGCAGAAGAAAATATCAAAGACTTTTCGTTTACAAAGTTGTTACAGCTTTTACCCCCTGAAGTGATAGTACGTGCAAAAGAAAGTGAATATGCTCAATCAAAAACCAATTTTATGAAAGATACCATCGGTGCATATATGAAATTACCCATTCATGGTGGAATATGCCATTTTTTTCAGAACTCTACCTTGAAATCAAAACTAACTCAAGATGGATCATCTGACGAATTTATAGACTCATGTGTTATATATACATATTCAAGTCTGCATTCAATCATTGAAGATGAGTTTACGGATCATAAAGTTCAGAAACATAAGATTGCAACTTTCAAATCGGAAAAGGAGTTTACAGCAACAGTGGAAAGTTTCTTTTTCTCCAAAAGGAGCGTTTTTCTTCTCCAATGTACTGCAGCTTCGGATTCGGAGATTCAGCAAGCTATGCTCTCCAAAGACATTATAGAGAAAGCTGTCCGAAAATATAAATCAACTTGTGTTACTGAGAAGTCCAGCAAATATGTGTTCATGGTCATTCATGTATATCGTGGCGTGTATGTTCATTTACCAATTAACTTTTTATCCCAATGGAAGTTGGTGTTTATGGACAGTATAGAAAAGCCAAAAACTCCATTAGACCGCTTTCTTAAAGTTGATAAACTAGAAATAGTAAGGGACAGGATGCCTCTTCATGGTTATATTACTGATTCACAGTTCTGGGTTCTTTCAAGAATCAAATTTACATCTGGAGATACTTTAACAGGATCTCTCTTAGAATTTATTTTGAAGTCTTTGAAGTCATGCCAATTTGCAATTGATATACTGGAAGAAATGATTGTTACTTGGATTGAGAAACGAACAAAGTCGGAGAGTTCCAGTAAATGGTGTACAGATGTTGCAAAAAGCCCGAGTGATTTAATCATTTCTGGTACCTTTATCAAGGCACTTGAGCGCAATATACAGGATTTCATCAAGACAATTCTCGCAAAATACGTTTTCCAAATGATTGACCAGAATATTTTGACGCCAGTAATTGTTTTAGATGAATTTACAAAATTGAGGAGAGAATCTTGGAGAACTTGTGTAATATCAACAGGACATTTGAATATCAAGGATATAGTGGAACCTTCAGGGCCTGAATGTTATTCCTGCAGCAGCAGGTTCTTAAACTTGAGAATGCCATTTAGCCAAGTGGTTAGTCAAACAATTGAAAGTAGAAAAGATTATTTCCTTAGGATTATAAGACGACGTATCATTGAGAAGAATATTGAAGAAGATATAGAAATACCAAGGGACATATTTCAACACGTAGTCAATACTAGTTTTGAAATAATTTGCAGCGATACAATTGTAATTGAAAGCTATCCTGGTCAGAACGATGACTACATCCACGATTTCAGTAATTTGTTTTTATCACAAATTAGTTTTGCAAATGAATCAAATAGAATTCAGGTCTTTATGTGGGCTTTATCAAATTTCATAGATCTTTCGGTATATAGGATGAAAAAATTTGAAAACTTAGTTGTCGTTCTGCATGCTTCAGTTTGGGTATATGGATCTGTACTTAGAGCAATTTGTTTGATAGCTCTAGAGCCAGCAGTATCGTTAGACCTCACTTACCACATTCCTTCAAGTAATGAGGATTCTAATGTTACTGAATTAGAAAACATCGCAGATGTCGAACAGGATTCTAAATCTATTAGAATAGCAGATTTAAATAGACAGTCGTTCGTCAAAGTTATCTGTTTGTCATTTTTACCAACACTATCAGTATTGAAATATTACGAAATATCAAACTGGTTATCAAAAGTTAAGCAAATGTTACCACTAGCACAGACAGTCTATAATAAGTCTAGAGCACTTCTTTGCTTGAAGCTGTGTCATGAAATATCGGAAGCTTTATTTGAACAACGTTTTACTGTTGACAATTATATTTACGAGATTGCTGAAATATTAAAAAGGTCAAATGGAGCAATTGATTCCACTGACGTATGCGATCTCATTTATAAAACTTTAAAAGATCTTCATAAATCTGGTGTTGATGGAAAAATTATACAGCGTTTGTTTTGTTCGTATATCGTTAGATGTCTTAAAAGCAGCGACGAAAATGTAAAGCCATTTCATTTTGCTCTGAGCAAAATAACATCTAATGACGTCTTTGATGAAACTTTAAGCTATTTCGGGCAAGTATTTAAGTATGCTTTAGCATTAGATGCTTCAAATGATCCAAATATATTTTTTGGGTTTCTTTCAGAAGAGGGAGCTTTAAAAGAAGAAATGCTTTTCTGCAAATGCTTGCATGAATGCTTATTGACATTAAATCACAATGTAGATGCCAACATGTATTTACCAGTTTTGGTGACAGATATATTAGAAAACGTGGCATTTAGTGAACATTTGACGATCGCTGAAATGAAAAGCGGTGAATCAGCGACATCGAATATATTTACCTGTCTCACAAAAGCATTACAAATGGCTGAAAAGGGGATTTGTGGGATAAAAACCCTTACTGCGGTAGCATACATCAGAATTTTTTTTAAAAATGCAGTTGTTATTTTGGAATCATGGAAGTATGATTGTAGTGATAAATCAGTTTTTGCTCAGCAGATCAATGCAGTTTTATGTCAAAGAAAGCAAACGGTTTTTTTGTCATTATTGTCATCTGAATTACTGCATTTATTTTTGAAAATCGTGGAGAATGTCGCTGGCCAAGAAAATGTTGAAAAAGTACTTCGTAAACTGGATAGTACCATTACTGTTTTAAAGAATATCAACTGGAGTAAAGACATTTTGGAAGAAATGCCTGTATATAATCCATTAATAATGTATGCTGAAAAGAATGAACACCTGTTAAAAGAATATCAATGTCAAGTATTATGTGTGTTGAAGGATAATACTCCATTGAATAAAATGTTGAATGATGAAAAAAATAGTCCTGGTCACCTATTATGTGTGCTAATAAAAGAGTTTTATATGAAAAAATGTTTTCGCCAGTTAAGCGATGAAGAAAAAAGGAAGACAAAGGCAATAGTTGAAGAAGTAGGCAAATCTGGTCTTGATATCAAAGTTAAACGTGTAGTTGAACTTGTTTTAGGTCTGAAAGATTTCAAGCCTAGTATATTCAATATTTCAGAAGTAGTTGAATCTCCAGTACCACAAATTGTTTCAGTGATGATTCATTTAGCTACTATAATAACTTTGAATAATAAAGAAAACACAAATACAGTATGGTGTAAAGCATTATTCAATCCGTCATCAGTAAAGTTTGAACTGCCAGCAGATTTACCACCGATAATCAAACATATCATCAAGCTATTGATCTACAGTTGTTTCACTTGCTCATATGGATTTGAATTCGTAGATGTAACACCTGAAAATACTGAATATATTGAAAAAAACTTAAGAAAAAAATTAGAAAAACGCTGGAAATATTTGCACCATATTTTGGAAATCAATTATTTTGATATCTGCCTGCTTCTTCATGAATTAATTTTCAAATTAATGAAACCTGGAAACTTCTGTACTGGTAAAACTCAACAAAACACGCAAAACGTTGATGCCCATTTTATATCTGAAAACGCTGCAACACTTGAAGATATCCTGGAAAATAGAATAGAAATTATTCACAACATAAAGAAAAAATGTGCAGTCAAGAGAGGAAGTAAACTTCAACAGTGTGTATTAAATGTTCAACCTTGCAACTTAGATGTTGATTTTTCCAATGCAGCACTTACATTACGGCTTTCAGGTACATCTTCTAAGAGTTTACTTCTTACTGAAATTCAAGCAGGGTGCAAGAACCGTTTCAAATTTTTAACCACTGTTGTTAAAAACATGCAAACACTTGATTTACCCAAGCATTTATCGTCATTAATAAAGTGGCATATGTCAGTTGTAACAATCGGCACCTATAAATTTAGAAAAGTGGATTTCAAGGACATGACTGTTTCGTCGTTTTTATCTGCAATTCAAGACGACTCTCAAAGAATTGTTTTAGAGAATGCTTTTAATGAATTTCATAACAGCTGGAACGAAATTCGTTTAGCCTTTCCAATTTTGAATTTTGTATCAAATTGTAGAACTGAAAGTGACAAACAAGGATTAAACTTAATGAAAATAAATTCAACAATGAAAGAATGTAGCATCATTGAGGATGATTCAATTTTTCTTGAAGTTATTAAGTGCCTTGCAAACATTCAAAATAAATTTTTAAAAGATTATGGTGTCATTGAAGCAAATGAGAAAAGTAAACTGATAAATAGCCTGCCAATACAAGATGTTAAAAGCGAAAATCTAATCAGCTTTAAATGGGACACATATTGGGAAGATTATTGTCAGTGTGAAACACGGTACGGCCTTGGACAAAAACTGAACTTTTACTGCGACATGATAGAAAAAGAACTGGAACAAGATATGTTATTTGGAAAAGTTTTAGTTGAAATTCCTAATCCGCTAATGAAAATTGGTTTCAAAGATGATTTGTTTCACAACAGTATTGAACTTTTGAAAGAAATTTCAAGAAAATTTGAACAGAAGGTTTTACCTGATGAAATAAAAATTCAAATAAAATTGAAAAAGTCTAAAGACAGATCACATATCAGTGAACTTCTAACACATGTAGGAATGGCATTGTCATTACTTCGAAAAAAAGGGCTTGGAACTCAAAATGCAGATATACCAATCGCATTTTATCTTAACAGTTTAGCCGATATAACTGGCATGAGCTCATCTGTTATCGAATCCTTATTTCCTGAAGATATTAGAATTAGTCATTCTGTTAACCTGTACCAGTGGCTGGAAGAATTAAATGGAGAAAGTATTATTGAAACTTTAGAAGATAAATACCGTGTAAAATTATCAGACAATGCCATACAATGCCTTCAAGAGGCGAAACAAAATATGAAACACTTGGAGAAACTGGATCATCCATTAAAAGTTTTTGCACATAGATGTCTTTTTGTAAAGGACAATGAGATTAGATCAGCACAACCGTTGAACGAATACCTTTCTAATAAAGATCTGTGGTGGCCAGACGATTTCATATACGATGATGCTTTAAAAAAGGAAGTTGTTGCAGCAAAAGATACCAACAAATCTTTAGAGGAATTGCTATCATCTTTAATCTTAGTAGAAAATATTTACGACACTGTCAAGTTTCTTGCTGAAGCAATCAAGGTATGTATACTTTTAACATGTTTGAGTGAACTTCTGGCTGAGTATGAATTCGTATGGCCGTAATGCATGCACAGGTAATTTCCCTGTCGACGCATCCGGTCACGCTCTATTTGAAGTGCATGCGATTCTCCCAGTTTTGTTGGTTACCTTGAACATCGGTAAACTGCAGTCGACTTGATAAATTGTAGTTGTTTTAAAATAATGAGAAACAGTTATTTTGAACATTGTCTTGAACAAATTGCATATCATAATATGATAATGCAATTTACACATGATCCCCCTTATCAATATTGGTAAAGAGATAAAATAGTTAATTTGAATAGGTCAAATATACATTAGTTTGCTAAATTAAGGAAAATATTAAAAAAATAGTAGCTGTCAAAAATTTTAATAATAATAGTCATTATGAAAATAAGAAGATGTGGTATAATTGCCAATGAGACAACTCTTCACCAGAGACCAAATGAAATTGAAGTTTCCTATATGTAACCGTACGGCCTTCAACAATGAGCTAAAGCCATATAAAGTCTAATAGGATTAACTTATCTCTAAATCGAGTTAAAGGAGAAAGAAACTAAAAATAAAAATGGGTGTTAAATACAATCTATCAAATATGATATCACATCCTAATTTTAACGACATTTATTTTTATAAAACACGTAAATTTATTCGATCCATGGAAGTTTATTGGTCCTTTGGGAAGACTTATTCTTAAAAATGAGTATCATTTGTAAAAACGTAGTAAGTTATTTGGATATATTTTTTGTCGGTTCTAACATTGATTTTGTTTCGATAAAACATATCTAAATATGTATTATTTTTCATTTATTTAAACTTATGTCCCACATCCTGTCGATATTATACACTTATCTATCGGCATTGCAAAAGTGATACTTTTCTCGGACTGTTTATGACTTCTGTATACTTAATCCAATAGATGTGTAATAATTGATACTTTCGTCTGAGAAAACATAAATTGTTTATTAGTTATGACTTTGAATTAGCTTTTAGTAACTGCGAGTACTCTTCGATCGGTACTTTACGTCTTTTGTCTATGTTAGCTGCTTTGTTCTTCATGTCAATCTGATAATAAAACTATTTCAGACTGATGTTTACAGTTTGTTCTCATGTTGTACTGTAACACCCTTTTCCCAGCATAGGGAAGGGTTGAACACTCACAAACATAAATCTGCCACTTTCTTTGTGTGTCTGCCCCAAGTCAGGAACCTGTAATTCAGTGGTTGTCGTTGGTTGCTTTGTGTTATCCCTATCCCATACGGTTACCTATAATTGTGTAAATCCACATTATTTGGACTCTGTTGAATAGTTGTCTCATTGGCAATCACAAATGAATCATACCACATCTCTTTACTTTATATGGTTTGTATAAAATAATATACAAATTTCTATTTCTAAATATATTGCTCAGGTTTAATCCACCATTTTCTACATAAGAAAATGCCTGTACCAAGTCAGGAATATGACAGTTGTTATCCATTCGTTTGATGTGTTTGAGCTTTTGATTTTGCCTTTTGATTACGAACTTTCCGATTTGAATTTTCCTCGGAGTTCGGTATTTTTGTTATTTTACTTTTTAGGATAGTTACACACGAGAAATACAGTTTTCAAGATTTTGTGTATATAGAAACATGGGGATGTGGTTAATAATTCAAACTAAAAAAAATGGACATGACCTGATGTTATGTATGCTAAAAAAACTAAACGCGATACAAATATTACAGACAGAAACTGACGAAAACCACATAATTACAGGCTCCTGACTTTGGACAGGCAATATGACTTGGGTAAACATGTTTGAGAGTGTTCAACCACCTTCAAACACAGGACAGTAGTGAAACAACCCAAAACATGGAATGGCTTCGCTTGTTAGATTGACACGAAGCATTGCTTACAACTAACAAAATGACCACAAGACACAAAATACCGAACTGATAGTAATTGCAGTAACAATAAGAGTCAAAGACAATTTCAACTAATACATATACCATGTTTCCCTACTGACATATCGATCAGTACACATACAACGGATATAGTGTAAAGATCTCATAATGAGTTTTGAAACAACAAAACCTTGTGCAATGCCAAAATGAAAATATCGACAGGGTGTAGGGCCTTCTGTGTTCATAACTGTATAGCTATACAAATTTTGATATGTTTTGATTACCCAAAAAACAAATTCAAATGTAGAACAATACATCATTCGAAAAGCTTACTACAATGTTTAATTGTTAATCTTCAAACGTATGTTTCTGCAAAGGATTAATGAGTTAACAGGGATCCTATCGAATAACATCCGCGTGAAAAGTTGAATGTTAAACATTTTCTATTGGTATGGCAAAACTTTCAAACTAAATATTTAAGTGAAAGAATTTAAAAACAGGTTTTAAGAATTGTATATAGAAAACACCTTCAAAGAGACACTAAGGTGTGGTAATAATATGGTTGTCTACGGTTTGAATTTCTGTTTTCAAAAAGACAAAACTGAGAAACAAAATGTTTGTTTTTAAACAATTAAGTATTTTTGATATTTCATTTCAATACAAAAATGATTTCAGCAAATATTATTATATCAGACTGTATAATGACGTCTTGACACTTAATCCATTGGATGTTGGATGGGTCCTGATTGATTATTTAGTCTTAGATGTATGGTTTTTTTTATTAGTTGTTATTGGCTTTGAACTAGCTTTCACTAACTGCGAATACTCTCAGGTCTGTACTTAGTGTCTTTTTGTTGTTGGGATGTACAAGTACCTAGCCACGTCCACTCTTGTTTTTGTTAGATGTATTTCTATTTGTATCCATCTGATGAGTTAAGCCTTTTTTCAACTGATTTTTATAGTTTGTTCTTATGATGTACTGTTACATCACTGTTCCGGGTAATGGAGGAGAATTAGGCGCCCGCTAACATGTTTAACCCCGCCACATTCTGTATGTGCCTGTCCCAAGTCAGGAGCCTTAATTCAGTGGTTGTCGTTTGTTGCTGTGTTACATATTTGTTTTTCGTTCATTGGTTTGTACATAAATTAGGCCGTTCGTTTTCCCGTTTGAATTGTTTAACATTTGTCATTTCGGGGCCTTTAATAGCTGACTATGCGGTATGTGCTTTGCTCATTGTTGAAGGCCTTACGGTGACCTATAGTTGTTAATTTCAGTGTCATTTGGTCTGTTGTGAAGAGTTATTTCATTGGCAATCATACCAAATCTTCTTGTTTTTATATGGAACAAATATTACAGTATTTAATTGATAAAAAAGTAAGCGCATGAAAGAGTAGTTGAAAGAGTACGGCTAATGTTAGATTTTTGTTTACTTGTAGGAGGCAGAAGAAAAAGAGTCGTCATTCTCCAACATGGAACAAACTAAAAATGAAAGACAAAAAGAAAATTCTAAAAAAGAACAAGGACGACTGGTAATAAAGAAAATGAATAAAAGATTGTAAAAATTAACCTTCTGATATATGTACATAATTATGTAGATCTCTGGTAATGTTACATCAACATTTTAAAATTACTGTTAACAAATAGTGTTTCCTACTGAACATACAACATATAAGCTTCTTTCAATTTTGAAAGGATTTATGTAACTTATATTTGTTAACAAGAAATGTTTAATATTTCTATATTTTTAAATCTTTTTATTTAGATTTTATTGAGGTCCAATTTTATTTCCACTTCATTACATGTGGAGCTTGTGGTATGGTATGTGTGCTCATTGTTGAAGGTCGTACGATGACCTATGTTTACTAACTTTTACGTCACATGGTTTCTGTTTGAGATTTGTCTTTTTTGCAAATCATGCCACATACTCTTATTTGTTTTATACTAATCAACCTCATTTTGACTTCTTATTACCCAAACCTCATAGTCGTCAGTGTTAAGGAGTTGTAAGTTGTATGCATATCATTAAATTTACACTGGTGCCTAAATTTTGTATATATATTTTTTAATTTTCATTTGTTTATAGATATAAGAAGATGTGGTATGAGTGCCAATGAGACAACTCTCCCTCCAAGTCAAAATTTATAAAAGTAAACCATTATAAGTCAAAGTACGGTCTTCAACACGGAGCCTTGGCTCACACCGAACAGCAAGCTATAAAGGGCCCCAAAAATTACTAGTGTAAAACCATTCAAACGGGAAAACCAACGGTCTAATTACATGTTACTGTTTTATGTCTTTTTAATTACTATAATTCATAAATACGACAATGGCACGCTTAAGAAACTTGTGCTTTTGGTAACAGTTACGATAAGTTACGCATCCCGTAATTTTATTTTAATTCTAGACATTTTTATATCTTTATTTGAAAACAAATGATTTCAATGACGGGATTTGGATACATTGAAGTTCATATTTCAAGCAGTCAAAAGTATATTACTTTATGCTTGGTGGTGCATTTATGTGAATGAATCATGTATTCAAACAAAGCTAGGTGAACTTGTTTTACATTTAATGTTGTATTGATTTTGGTATCCAGTTCACATCAATCTCACATTATGTATTATACGCCTCATAATCAGATTGAGATGAAAGTTCGTGTAATTTTGATCGGGTGACATCTACATGTATCTCTAATTTTGTTTAAAATCCTCTTTTTTGACTGGCTATACATATTCAAGCGGTTTTGTGTAAAATTGACATTTGTGTACTCTGATATGTGTTACAATGATAATATGTATGATGATTTGCCTCATGTTAGTTTGCAATAATTCGGGATAAAATTGGTTACATGATTCAGTTTTTTTTTTCGTTTGTACAGAATATTTTACTTTTTTAAATGCTTATGATTTTGAAATTTTGATAAATCCTTTGTTCACATTTTTGTATATTTGTACATAACCCATCTTTGTATTCGTAGAGTATTTATGTCTTTGTATTTCATATACACAATATAACTCGCTATTTTGATGTCTTTATTATAAAATGTTACTTGTACAGTTTCGACCAATATCTGAAAATACAACAATTTCACTTGATTTAGAATGACTTTAATAATCTGTTAATTTACTGAGATACAATAATGTTTAAGAGAATGTAAATAT